GTGACTTTATTTCTGTCACTTTTTTTCCGATAAACGTTTTCCATTGTGACTTTTTTCTGTGACTTTTTTTCCTAGCCAAAACTGTGACTTTTTTTCTGTTTTTTTTTTCCTGTGACTTTTTTACCGTTCAGCCTTATTACAGGGCCTAAAATGACATATCATACGTATTTATAAACGTCGAGATTTCAGAAATACAGCTCAAGGTTCAAATTAAAACTCGGTTCATAAATAGCCCAAATAACTTAGTTCAACTTTGCGGTTCGATATCTCCAAAAGTATTTAGCATATTTTCTCCAAGAACCTTGAGCGTTATACGTGAACATTTAATCTATTCTTCTACCAAGTTTCACTGTTGTAGTACGAAAACTCAAAGAGTCTATAGACTCAAAGTAACACCCCCCTTTTAAAAAGGTGAAAAAGCCTCCCCTCTAATCGTTACGTCGCCGCGGGGGGGGGGGGGGGGGGGGTAAAAATAGCGAATCAATCGAAGATTTTTTCAACACAGAAATCAACCTTATACAGTTTAAAAGGTTATTCAATTACAAATATAATTATGTATAATATGTTAATATAACTACAATGAAAGCATGCAAAAAACAGAGTTGAACATGCAGAGGGTTGCGGCATTGGCTTAGCTAAATTAATGGCATATCTGTCATGAAACTGAGCTTAGATAAAATTAAATATTTCATCGAAGATGTAGACATTCACTGAAAAAAAAATATTATTCTTCGCTTAAATTTAAAAAAAAAGAATATAAAATGATGAAAACGACAGTAAAAAAATGTATTTAAGAAAAATGCCTAAAGCCAGAAGTAGAAAATTAATTTAAAAAATAAGATAAATGTAGTAGGTAAACACCCACGTAAGGCAGAGATAAACGTAACGTAACGTTTCCCTTTCAAACCTGACGGTCTATGGGGCAAGTGAAGTAGAGTTCACTTGTTTCTGTAACCTCGGCATATGACGAGATAGTGTGGTCAGCACTATGCCCAGCCGCCTTTACTTTCCATAACGTGAGTTAGGTACCCATCAGAGTTGGGTGGACTCTGGGACGGTCTACTGACTTGAACCCGGATTCGAACTCGAGACTTACGGGTTAGCAGTCCAGCTCTCTACCGCTAGACCACTCCGTCCCATAAGGCAGAGATAAAAACTATAGATAAATTCAACAGCAAATTTGAGGGGAGGGGGTTGTAGGCTGAGATGTGACGTCATTTTAGGGGGGGGGTCGGCTTTTTGTGACGACGTGTGACGGAGGGAAGGGGGGATGTACAAATATTTTTAAAAAGCTTGACGTCATTTACGGATGACCCCTTTGTATAAAAAAATATACTTAAGGCAACACATACACAAAATGTGTATTAAATCTGATCATAGCCTTATGGGTTATTAGTGTTATTATTTTACTATCAGTTGTATTGTATTCACGGTAGAGGGGTGGCTTAGACCCCCTACCGGTTGAAATATATATATATATATATATATATATATATATATATATATATATATATATATATATATATATATATATATATATATATATATATATATATATATATATATATATTGTAACCCGACACTAATATAATTTTACCGTTGACAACCTGGTCTTCCAGGATTGGGGCTTGAGCAAAATGTCAGCAACATTATATTTTGTAAAAAAACAAATCGCTATAGAAACGCAGTCAGAGAAAAATATAGGCAGCTCGGACCTGGGGAAAAAATAGATCTGCCTATAGAAAATGTATGTAGCTGGGTGGTAAAAGCCAGTATATATTGGTAAATACCAGGTTGACGACATTTTTTCCGCAATGTCCACCATCAATATTGGATCTTGGAATGTCAGTACGATGTATAAAGCTGCAAAAGCAATCTCAGAAATGAGACGCTATAAATAGCTATCCTGGGGTATCAGCGAGCCAAAGTTGACTTGCCCAAAAAAAAAAACAACTAATAACAGGAGAGCTACTGCTGCTCCCAGGTTACGAGGAGGAAAGAAGTCGCATTCATGCTGTCAAAACCAAGCACAAAGGGCTCTCATTGGGTGGATCATAACAGCCGCCCCCTTTAAAACTAAAATAAGACGTATGGACATAATACAGGCCTACGCCCCAACAAATGACAGCAAAGAAGAGGACTAAAATGAGTTCTACAATATGCTAAAGACCATTATCCAGAATCGTCCAAAAGAGTAATCCTTATACTCATGGATGACTTAAATGCTAAGATTGGAAGCGAAAACAGAGGATATGAAGACATTATGGGACAGCAGGGCTTAGTTGAGATGGAGAAAGATTAGCTGACTTCTTCAGATGTTGACGTAAATAGGTGTTTAGTTTTTTCCTTTTTCTCCTATTAAATACAAAAATATATGTTTAATACTTTGCAGTTTTTGTTTGGTAATGCAAAAACATGTATATAAACCAAGCGCTTACAATATAGGGTCTACTTCATACTAAAACGTTCAAAATATACTTATTTTTTCAACACTTTCTGGGCTCTACTTTTAGCATTTAGGCCAAGTAAAGATGTTGCCGAAATTTTTCGGATTTATAGTATAGCAAGGTGCACATGGCATATTATTGAATTTTCGTGGACGTCCACGAGGGGGGGGGGGGGGGGGGGGGGGGCTCGCGCGACGCGTGTAGAAGGGGGTTTGGGGAGGAAAGTGGTCTAAAATTCAAAATTTTGTGTACGTCATAAATGGATGACCCTTATGGCAGGTTTCACTATTCCTGTTCCTGCTGGCACTTGACTGGCTTATGAAAATATCATCTGAGAAAAAGTGAAACGGTATACAGTGGACAATAAGGAACCAGCTGGATGACTGACAGACGAAGGCCTAAAATAATTGGATAAATTCACCTACCCTGGAAGTATTTTTTATGTAAGCCCTGCTGGGGGGGGGGGGGGAATAACTAAAATCTACCCTTCTAGGCTTATCTAACTACCGTCCGGTCAGTGCAAGTCCGGCTGAACCCAGACTGGTTAATAACCTTAACCTTAGCCTAAATAAAAACAAAAAAACATTTAACAATTAATCAAATTTATTAACTGGAACCAATCAAAATAGAGAAAAATAATAGATAAAATAAACTACAGACACTAAACAAAACAATATACACAAAACACGACGAAACAAAACTCAATGGGACAAAACACGACTAAACAAAACACAACGGGACAAAACACGACTAAACAAAACAGACTTTAGCGTGACAAAACAATATACACAAAACAATATACACAAACACCCAGCCAAGTTGCACAAGCAACATTACTGCAAGCACGAGGTGCCCACACATAAACTGATTCGATCTACATTTCGCCTCGGGTCAAAAAGAAAGAAATTATCCGAGCGGTCAGTTTTTATACTGACCGCTTCGGGCGGAAGGAGAATCCCCGTAGCCGCTGTCCAGTGGACCATTCACTCACAGATTCGTACCCAATAAAATAATACAAAATAAATAATCCATTCACCCTCTCACATTGATAACATTGACAGACAAAGCCCTAGAAGAATTAGATAGATTCACCTACCCTGGAAGTATTGTTGATAACATTGACAGACAAAGGGCAGACATAATAATAGGACGGACAAGGCAAGAGCATTCTTTAACCAACTAAAAAAATGTTCGGAGATCTGGAGATTTAAGTTTTAACCCTTGAAATAAAAATCTAGGTCTTCAACACACTGGTAAAACCAGTTTTATTTTCTGGAGCTGAGACATGGAGAATTACTTCAACAGATAAGAAGAAAATACAATAATTTATAACACATACCTCAGAAAGATCCTTTAATTTTGCAGGCCTAAAACCATCAGAAATGAGGTACTATGGCAACGGACAAATCAACTGCAGCTAAAGAATAGATCATCCAGAGAAAATGTAAATGGATTGACCACACACTCAGGAAGTCCGTGTCCAGCATAACAAGACAGGCCCTCAACTTGAATTCACAGGGCAAAAGGAAAAGAGGCAGACCAAGAAAGACCTGACCTGGAAGAATACACCAAGAAAATTGGATTCACCTGGGGACAGTTGGAGAGACTAGACCAGGGCAGAGACGCCTGGAAAGTTCTCGTCAGTTTCCTTTGTCCCAGGAGGGGCGACAGGCAAACCTAACCTAATTTTAAAAGAAGTTTTTAACGTTGGAATAGACGGGTAACATGATTATTATGTTTAAGCTATGCTATGAAATCCCGCGAACTCTAACATTAGAAAACATAATAATTAGAAAAAATAATTAGCTTAATTGAATACTTTTAAAATTTCTGTATAATTTATGCAATACAGTTTTTATGAAAATGCTAACATTAAAAAAAAAACCATACTATTTCTATGATGTGGTTACAACACTTGCTTATTTTTTATTCCAATAAAGTGTATCGACTTCGAATCAGGACAACACCTGTGTTTGAACCTAATAAACGAAGGGCTAACAAGCTGCAACCAGTTTTAATCTGCTTTGATCTTGTTAACTTAAAACCTCAGAAAATTGACCCTTATGTAAATGGACGAAGTAGAGTACAAAATATTTTAGCTTACTGTAGTAAGTGTTAAAAATAAAATAATGTGTTACATAATTTTTACGCCTCGATTAACGCAATTAATTGTTATACTGAAAAACACAAAATAGTTGTAAAAAATATGCGCAAAAAATCAATCGAAAAACTAAGCAAGGAAAAGATAGACAAACAATTTTTCTTAATTCTAACTCTTGTAGGTGAAAAAGAGTGTAGTTTGACAAATTAGATCACGCAAGATAATCTATATAGGTAGGACCGAGATAAAAAAAAAATCGAAAGCTACAGACTACAAAAAAAAATTAATTCAAAATACACTAAAATAGTTTTGGCTGCAAGAAAATCATTTACCCGGGAGATCACATTTGCTTAATCCGCTGATAGAGTTCTTTTGATGTTAATCGGCATTTTAAAATTCCACCAGATTGAAGGTAATGTTAATGACGACAAAAAATAATATAAAAGCAAGAGGTCTTAGACTTGAAAGTCGACAGCAGTAACCCAGACTACAACAATACTATTAAAACAACAAGAAAATAAAAAAGACGCTCGCCATGAAGATGTTGACGTTTCTGGTCCTGGTAGTCACGAATATTCTTCTCTGTCAAGGTAAACAAACACAGCTCTAGAGTTTGTTGAGTTGATTGTTTTTGGTCAACTAAACACATCTCTAGTCTTTTGAGTTAATTGTTGATGTTTTGTTGTCAACTAAACACATACGCATCTCCAGTCTCTTGAGTTGATTGTTGATGTTTTGTCATCGTTGTAGTGGCAACTTAATTTAGAACGAGGACTAAAGTCGAAAATAAAATAAATATAAAAACCTTTATTAGATCAAGCTTTGAAATGCACTGGAAATGTAAAAAAATAAAACAACTTCATTTATAAAATCTTTGGCCTCTAAAATATATGTTCTCACAAGCGAACAATGCATTCAAAAGCTTGTTATTATAAAGTTTTATTTATTTGTTTATTTATTATTGGTATACACAACCTTACGAGTCAATGTATACAACATGTGTTTCAGTGGCTGGGGAAGACTATGAGGAGACAGCTTGTCTTGACTGCCAACAGTTGCTGCAAAAACAAAATAAAATCATCAACCAGCTGAGTCAAAAGGTCCGAAATTTGGAGGTAAATCCTATTACTTAAGCTTTCAATTACTATCTGATATCAAGAGAATTTGATGGTTCAAGCGTATTAATAAATTCAAATAGGGTTTGATTGGAAGCGTAAGACCATTTTTACATACACCTGATATGTTTAGCACGCTTTGTCTATTTGCTGACTTAAACATCTGACAAACTATGCGAGTGTTTCATGACTATTTCAGGCCACGCCAAGATCAGGAGCCGAGTGGACACTGGCGTTTCGTGGCACAGCTTACATAGGAAAATCTGTTTATGACGCCTATAAGGACGGTACTGGGATCCCGAGAGAGGTGGAACCCGGATGTAAACAGGTGCGTTGACCAGATAATGTTCGCTTGGTAAGGCTAAATATTTAGGACTAGAACTTTTCTACTACATTGCTCTTTACGGCGATGCTGAATAGAAGCTGAAGTTTTTAATATTGTAAAAATATCTTAATTTCAACCAACCACTAAGGGTTTAATCAATGCAAGTCAAAACTTGTCTTGAGGTTGCAAACATTAAAAAGACAATGAGTGTTATGGGTCTGCCCTAGCGACTTTCGTCTGAACCTGTTTTGTGTAGATTTTAACCAAATTAACCACGCTATTTTGTTCTTGTAACGCACAAAAAGTAAGACACCTCCTAAAATGACGTCATACTTTTGCCGCCATCTTTCCCTCACATAATTTTTTTCCAAAGTGGGTGTACTCAATCTATAGGGCTTTTAAACTAAATAATTTTTTCCTTTCGCATGAAAACGGCTTGTATTAAATTTTAGAAAATATGGTTCAATCTTCGATTCCTGATCAATTTTAAAAACAATAAAACAAATTTACAAAAAAGCTTTTTAACTGTAAAACGAAATGCCCAAATTCACTCGGCGTGGTCGAGTCGGTAAAAGCTCATGGTTGCTAAACCAAAAAGTCTCGAGTTCGAACCCTCGGGCAGATGAGGCTCGTTAGCTGGTGACAGCCACTCTTCTAGGAGAGATAACTCCAAAATCAAATAACTGCTCCCTTGTAGTTTGTTCTTGGTTGGACAAAGGCTATGGAAACAAATCCAAAAAGAAAAGTAGGCTGAAATCGGAGTCAATGGCCTCAATGGCGCATAAACAGTTGACACGTATCCTTAATTGTGACGGAGGCGTGGTCGAGTCGGCAAAAAAGCTCATGGTTGATACATTCGAAAAAGTCTCGAGTTCAAACCCTCTGACAGATAAGGCTCGATCCCTTCCAACACTAAAAAATTAAGAACGAAGAGGAAGAAGAAGACTAAAAAAAGTTGTTAAATTTATTAGTGTTACGTCTTACTTTTCTAATCCCTCTCTCATCGCGTCATGCATCGTCACTAAAGTCCGAAGCTCGATTTCCCTAGAGTGTTACGACATTTTTTAAATTACAATTTTCTAGTAAAATTTTACTGACATATTAAAAATTGATAAATTTTTTTTAAAAATAATCATCAAGAAAAAAGATTTCTTCCATATTTCAAATTTCCTAAAGACCACTTATGACTAAAGACTTATTGAAACGTTTTTACATGCTCAGGTGACCGACCCCCTACCATGTAAGAACCACTACAGAAACTCAGAAGTGTTCGATAATTGGGAAAGAGTTCAGGAAGTCGCTTTCATCCTGTACTCCAACTACCAGAAGGTCAAGGAGATTTTGTTTGACGGCACAAAAACAAACTACATGACCTGGTTCGACAAGTCCAAGGTCAAGTTCTCTTCCTGGAATCAGCTAAAGGACACCCAAACCAACATTTTTTCGATTTCAGGCGATATCAGGGTCAATCTAAAGAGGGCATTCTACATCAACAACTTGTATAATGGATGCGAAGATAAAGGCTGGTTCGTCGCGCTTGACATGGCCTACGGTTCTTGTCCATACGAGAAAATAGACAGATTTCCGGTCTTCTTATATGCAAGACATAATCAACCGGAAAACTTCAACAGTGGAGCCCTCGACAAGGCGGACACGATGGCTATCTTTGTCAAGTACTACAGCACACCGTAACGTGTCAGATTGAGGCCCGATACTTGGTCAGTTTAAGTAACGCTTTAAAATCAATAAATAATGGTGGCATTTAGAATGTTTCTATCTATTAATCTCTGTATGGTTTTGCTTGCTAAGTTATATTACTGGCAACAAAATTGTGTACACATGAAAATGCGCAAAAAAAAAGCAAATTAAAAAAAATTATACCCACAGAAAATGTATCACAGGACGCTCAACAATTAGACTTACGGCAATGTGTTTCTGTGTTCTTATGCGTGCTTGTTTGAGTTTGTCTGTATACATACACAAATATCTTTTATTTCTGTTATTTTAATTGAAAAAAAAACATTTATAATAACACGCTTTTAAATGTACTTTCCTTAATAAAAGCTTTGGTCGCTAAAATATGAAAAATATCTAATTTTTATATATACGAGCAGCCGAGAGAGTGATTTTTTGCTTTGAGTTACGAGAAAAATTATTTGAGATACGAGTAACTTGATCCGCGGGTTTTATAATTCATGGCGAAAAACATCTGAAATAGTTGCAGTTGATCGTACATTGCAGCTATTTAAAAACTTTGTCTAACTTTTCGAACTAATCTCCCCAACATTCTGAAAGGTTGTAGAAACAAAACCACTGTAGCAGATTTTAAACGGCCTTCTCAATAAAAGGAGTAAAGCGTGCAAAATTAGGCAAAGCGTAGTTAAGAGAAAATCAGTCACGAAAAGTAAGCAAAAGTAATAATAAATTATTATCAAGTAGCGATTAAGTTCAACTATGTTTTCGTGAATTTTAATAAAGTTAAATTAAGTTTAGGGATTAGGTGTAATATTAAAAGTGTAAAGAATAAATCAAATAAAATTTACCGTAAGAGTTAGCATTAACAATGAAGAGTATCAGTGAATTAAGTAAAGCTCTTTCACCCTACACCTGCGCCATCATCTCTAGTAAGCTCAGGTCAATTGATTTTCAAAGAATATTATCTTTATAAAACAGTTTATTTCTTAATATTTACCTTTATTCTGTTTGAATGCAAAATTTGTTTTAATAAGCACATTTTTTCTTATTAATACATTCTTTATTAACATACGCACCAAAAACATGGAATAGCAATTTGGGTGGCTGACTGGAACGAATTAATCACATATTATGTAATTTCAATAGGGATAAAAAACTGTTTTGATATAAAAACAATTTGATATATGAGCAATGATATGGAACGAATTAAACTTGTATTTCGGGGTACCTGTGTATTTACATAATTTATTATAAATAAAATTTATACACGTGAAAAAAAATAACACGTTATAAGACACAATAAAAACAAAAGGCCAATTACACTACTGTGGATAACTACACATTTAACATTTGGCAAAATCAAACGTGTGTCAAGCACACAGTGCACTTTATAATTTTTCAATTACCTCCACACAAAGCACATCCTTATTAAGTTACAATGTTCAAAAACACAATATTCTCACTATTTATAGAAATTAAAAGGTTTTTTTCTTTTTTTTTTTTCAATAAGCAGAAAAGTTAAAATATTAAGCAAGAAATTTTTTTAACAGAAATAATTAATGATATTGTATAGTAATATCCGTTCTCAGAGTTAATTTAACGTTCTCAACACTGAAAGCTGACAGGAAGGGGATTCCTAGAAAGTTGGACTTTGGGCTAACAGAACCAGACATTTTCACCTGATTTTTGCCCGAATACCGTTTGCCCCAAGGGCGATTTCCCCAATGAAAATTTGCCCGAACTGACATATAAGGAAAATCTGTTTATGCTGCCTACAAGGACGGTACTGGGATCCCAAGTGAGGTGGAACCCGGATGTAAACACGTGATAATACCACGCGTAGGCTACAAACATACACGGGTGAAATAAAATATGTTACTGCCAATAAGTAGCAATAAGTTGCACAATAAGAACTACTTAAATAAATACTTAACACCTAACTCGTGCGCAACATGCGGCACTAGCAGGAATAATACAGAAAAGTAATCTAACGAAGACACTCCACCCCTAGTCTGCAACATGCAGCACTAGTAGGAGTAGTACAGTAATATGAAACATAATATTACCTTCATTAGGTCTACATTGTCATTGATCTACCTCTAGGTACCGTCACCCTCAGTGTCCAAAGACAGCAGCCTTGGGTCTGTCTGACACGGCTAGGCACGAACTACTCATAATCCCATGTCACATGACATGAGACACAGGTAAAATCGCTCACTGAAGAGCATGCAAAAAACTACACATCAACAGGGGCCGCAACCCAATGAATTACAACTTTATTCTTATCCCCCCCTTGGCTGGTAACCATATGTGTTACACCGCCCCCCCCCCTCACAAATAAATGTACAATGGAATATACATTTACATTTACAACTCATAAATAATTGTACTTAAAAAATTCAGTACAGTAATACATAGACATTTACCCTAACAACTCAAATATATTAAACCGGTAGAGGCTCCAGTGCTGGTACTGGTCACCACTTGATGCGCCAGGTTGAGTCGCTCGACGGGTCGTCGTTGACGGGTTGACCTCCGCAGCTCCGCTGGTGGTTCTGGGTTGATCAAAGAGTCATCCTCCTCCGATGCCTCGTCCCTCGCATTCACCTCGTCCAGATTTGGGGCTGGCCTTACCATCACCTTTTCTTGTCCGTCCCGGGCGACCACCTCTGGCACGAAAGGCGTTGCCTCCTGCCGAAGTCTGGTGGGGACCACCACCTTGATTGTCAGTTCCTCACCATCTGTTTCTCTGGTTGAGATGATCTCTCTCCGTCGCTCACCCTCCGCCACAGTGGGTTCTGAACTCGACATCAACTACACATCAAGAGGGGCCGCAACCCAATGAATTACAACTTTATTCTTTATTCTTATCCCCCCCCCCTGGTAACAATATGTGTTGCAAATATGAATAATTACTTAAAGTTAAGCAAATACAAGCATAATTATAAACAAATAGGCCTAGATTAAAATTTCTTAAATGAAATATAATTTGCTGATACCACATGGGCTATTACACATTTTTTTAGTATTTACTACGAGCCGGCCCGCGGCATAACATACGCCGCTATTTAGTTGTTGTTTTTTCTACTTTTCAGTAATTCATAATTTGTTAATTCGACAGTACCAACGCTGACACTGAAAATATTTCTTTAAAACACTATAAGTAGCTCGTTAAGGACCATAGCCCCCCCCCCTTCCTCCCCTCCCCATGTTTAAAATCGTTTCAAACTAAATTATCTGCCCCTAATAGCCGTCACTAAACCCAACTCCACGAAGGTAGACATAGCGTGAACCACAGCTCACTAAGATCATGTAGGGGTGGGGATGGTAGGGACCGCGCTTGCAGCTTGTTTTCTAACGGCTCGCAGAAGATAATTATATATATAGATAGTAAACTCTAAACTACTTATTAAAGACATGGCCTACACTGTCAACATAGCTAAACAAAAGGAAGTAGGTCTAGGGGGGGGGGGGGGCTATTTCATTTACTATTTAAGATTCTAATTATTTATAGGCCCTAGGCCTAAGCCCTAACTAATACTTTAATTCTTTAATAGTGTCTAACTAATACTTTAATAAATAGCCTACTAGTCTAGATCTAGTAACACTACTGAGTACACACCCGAATCCTAAGAAGATCTAAGGCTAAAATAAAATAGGGGAGATTTAGGCCCTAAATATTATAGTAAATAAATTTAGTTAAAATAGTAGACCTAAATAATAGGCCTAAATACTAAATGCCTAGACCTATTACCAGGTCCTTTTTGCAGTTAAACAATCAAAAGTTAAATAAACCGGGAGTGATCTCCCCTAAACTTTCTCGAATATTCTTATATAAAACAACAGGGGATCAGAGTTTCTTCCAGGCATCTCTTACCCCGCCCCCCACCCCGAACATTTTTTACCGCCCCCCCCCCCCCCCCCCCCGAACAAAATGAAATTTATATAATTTAAATAGAAAATATATACTTTTAACAGTGTTCGCCCCCCCCCCTCCCCGAAGAAAGTCTACCGCCCCCCCGAAAATTTCAAGTGCCCACCCCCCCCCCCCCGGAGAAAAAAGTCTGGAAGAAACACTGCAGGGGATGGGAACTCGGGCTATAGACATGATTTTTAATCCATTTTAAATACTTAAAGTTTTAAAAATAGAATAAATCTCGTAGACAAAAGAATTGCACACCTAGTGAACGCCAAATAAAAAAGTGCATAACAGTGTGCAATATTATTAGTACTTTAAAAATTTACATTAGTTTTTTGAGAAATCGGAAGTAGCGTAAATTACTACTTCCGTTCAACGGAAATTACTCAAAATTTAACAGAAGGTAGAGAATTAGATCTTTTACTTACATGTGAAATTTCATTTATCTATCTGAAATAGTACTCAAGTTATAGGCTTTTGAAAAATTCAAAGTAGAAAAAGTACCACTTCCGGTTATTGGAAATCGCTCAAAAGTTGATACGGATCTACGATTTTGATAAAATACTTATATATGAAATTTCATCAATCTAGCTGTAACGGTACTCAAGTTATCGTGTTTACACACGGACAGACAGACACACACACAGACATACGGACAGAATTGCAAAGCCCAGTTTTTCAGACTGGATTACGCATAAAACCTCTTAATTTTGATAAATCTGGATTGATAATTTTTGCCCGATTAAAATAAGTCCTCTATACTTCGGATGTGATGAAGGACTGTGGTGTAATACGGTGAAAATTGTTAAAATTTCAAGTGATTTTTGTGCACGATTACAATACTTTCTCTATACTTCGTATATACGAGAAAGTAAAAAGGAAGTAAAATGGGGGAACAAAGCTTAGTGTACAAAATCTGTAGACTACTTTTTATTATACTTTACAATTATATTACAGTACAATACAAAACAAATTTCTTAGAAAAGGAGGACGCGAAAAGATTAAAATAAGTTGCCGAGTTGGGCCTAACACTGACACCTAGATATATAGATCTGATTGAAAACACATATCAACACGATATGCATACGTGGTGCGGTTTGATTGTCAGATTGTTAGATCTATTTTTTTATGGTGTAAAAATGTAATAACTAAACTACGTTACGTTTTTGTAGCCTAACATCTAGTATTCGACTAACAACCGGAAAATCGGAAAACAACTGTAATATAGATATTTTAATTTTTAAATTATCTAGACAGATTCTAGATCTAGACTAGTTTTAGAAAGTATTGATGTAGGTCTCCTATAACAATATCTTCGGGTATATAGTCTTTTAAACTTAGTTAAAATAAACAAAAGCTAAGATACAATTATTTAAAAGTATCCCAGTAGTTTTAACTTGATCTCTTTAATAGAAGAGGTAATAATTATAAGTCTACTAGTAGTATTAGTAGTTTTAATATCAAATTACAAATATGACTATTTAGTATTTAGTAAAATTATTCAGCAGTGTCACACCAAATCGGATGCCATTTGTCCAGGGGCGGAGCTACAATGCCACAAGACCCAATATTGCGAGGGGTGGGGGCAGACCGTTTAGGGGCCCACAGCCGAATATAATTAATTTGTTCATAATTAAAAAAAATGTAATTTTTGTGCATTTTTGACCTGGATAGTTGATTTGTAAATAGAGAACTGTACCAGCGGTTGGATTTTCTTTATTCTATTGTAATCTCTAGACACTAAACACTATCACGCGCTCACATTTTATCAGACACTAGTTAGCGGATGTTACTTTAGTAGCATAATATTAATTAGTTTGATGAATCTTATTCATAAAATAAGGTAAGACTATTTTTATATTATTAGTAAATGAATTAATTGAACCTTTATAATAAACGAGCCGACCCGCAGCGTATCATACGCCGCTATTTAGTTGTTTTATTTTCTACTTTTCAGTAATTCATAATTTGTGAATTCGACAGTACCAATGCTGCCACTGAAAATATTTGCTTTAAAACACTAACCCCCCCTTTCCCCTAACCCTAACCCCGACCCTACACCCCCCCCCCCCCGTGAAAGCAGCCTCCTCTTAGTTATTTCTTAGTTACCTCCTGTAAGTTTAAAATCGAAC